CCCCAAAACCCCAAAACCCCAAAACCCCAAAACCCCGTGGTAGAGGGTGAATGTTGAAAATATCTGAGGGTTTTGTGCTCTACTTCTTGGATATATGTATTTTGGGGTTGAACTGTGTGCCTAGACCGAAGCCAATTCCTTCATTGTTCATATCTTCTAGCTCAAATTCAAAGTCTATGTGTGTAACAAGGTAGGCTAGAATGACTTTTATCTCAAGGATAGCGTAAGTCTGGCCTGGACAGTTTCTTATACCATGACCGAAAGGTCTTCTCGTGTAAACATCCTGTACCTTTCCAGCTTGTTTTGACTTTTGATAAAACTCAGAGTCAAAGTCATGTCTCTCAGGGATGAACTTTTCTGGATAAAGCCATTTGTCTGAATCGTAGTTACTAGTCATCATGTCAAGTCTGATCTGAAACCCTTTAGGAATGGGGACATTGCAGATCTTAGTCTCCTTATTTGTGACATAAATAAAAGTTTCAATGACTGTGGGATCTACTCTCATAACTTCCTTAATAAAACAGCTAAGGTAGGTGCAATCTTGCAGTTTCTCTCTTTTCCACGTTGATAAATCAGAATCTTTTACTAATCCCTCTTTTTCAAGTTCTTTCCTTAGCTTTACCAAAGTTTCTGGGTGTTTTTTGAGGAAATACAGGCAAGAGACTAAGGAATGGGAGGAAGTCTCTGAGCCTCCTACCATGATTACTAATAAATCTCAGATCTATAGTAAAGTAAGCAAGCTCTGGAGTGTAAGAAGCTTTATGAAATGTGAGCCTTACCTTCTCTTCTTCAGTTGTATCAGAGAACCCATACAGCTTATTACCAATGGAATTAGTCTCTTTGGAGGTAGATACAATGCTTCTGATAGCACCCTTGAAGGTATCCAAATTCTTCTTGTCTCTTTTGTAGGGGTTCAAGTAATATAAAGTATCTGCTCCAAAATAAAGCATGATGCTTGTTAAAGGAGAGAGATGCTGAACAATATAGCACCTAGAAAGCCTTATTAGTATCTCTCTAAGAGTCACCTCCTCAGTTGTTCCATCAGAGTTCTCATAAGGATAGAGCTTGGTTACTAGCTCAGTAATGTCTTTTCCAAAAAGCACTTCGTTGAAGATGTTGAACACTAATTCAGTCATTTCTTGAAGAAGATCTATTGGTTTTTGTTCAGGCATAGAATCTAAAAGATTTCTTGTGCAACTCAGAATTTTTGGAATGAGGGGGAATTTCTTTATGTATCTTGAAGCAGAATTGAGACCAAGTAGCTGGGTCATATTTTTCCTTCTCTGAAAAATATTTTTCGTAGTTCACTTGTTCACAATAGACCCATGTAACATTTCTGCGAATCCAAGTCTCACAGTTGATCTATCAATATCAACTCTTCCATGCTTAACAAACTCTTCACAGGCAGTTTTGCTGACCATATAGAGTATTGGATGGCAACCCTCAAAATTAAGTTTCATGTCAAAGTTCTTAACCTCTTCTGCTTCTTCTTTGTACCAAGTATAATGAACCTTACCTGCTCGGATACAGTCAATAGCCTGCTTAAAGTTTCCTAAAACAGGGATGAACTTCTTACCCAGCATTATGTTAGAGTATCTGGAGTATTTCCATCTGAGGTAGTACGGCCTGACCACGAAGATGTACACCAAGAAGATCACAAAGGCAATTATGAGAGCCATTCATAACCTAACAGCTGTATATAAAATGGTGGCTAGCATCTTTTTAGTTTATAATAGTTTTCAAAAATCTTTTTATTCTAAGGGGTTTTGGGGTTTTGGGGTTTTGGGGTTTTGGGG